GGATAGAGCACCAGCCTCAGAGTCAGGAGGACCTGAGTTCAAATGTGGCCTCAGACACATAATACTCACTAGCTGTGTGACTCTGGGCAAGCCACTTAACCCCAATTGCCTTACCCCCTGCCCAAGAAAAAAAAGGGAGTTTAAATAAATAAATAAATAAAGTGGCAGGTAGGTGGTGCAGTGAATGGAGCACTGGGCCCTGGAGCACTTGAGTTCAAATCTAGCCTCAGACACTTGACACTTACTAGCTGTGTGACCCTGGGCAAGTCACTTAACCCCATTGCTTAGCCAAAAATAAATAGATAAATAAAAGAATAACTTCAGGGGACTGCTAGACTTCCTTGACCAGGTAAAAGTTCAAATAGGGTTCAAGGGTTTTCTGGGGCCCATAGACAAATGGGACCCAAATTCTTTTTGGGAATGAAGGGCAAAGATCTCAGCTTGGGCCCATACCCCATCAAAAGCAGTGACTCATCTCAACTGCAGAAAGCTAATGATAAAACATGTGTCCCAGTGCTTGGCAGACAGTTGAGGAACTATAGGTACAGATTGAAACATATGTTTTTAGACATAGGAAAAAAAAAAACAACCCTTAATATCCCCCATCTGGTAGATGATGAAATTGACTCTGGATGAGGAAATCGAAGCCCAGAGGAATTAAGTGACTTGTTTGACATCACAGAAATAAGATGTGGTGGAATAAGGAAAGGAAGGAAAAGGAATAAACATTTTTATGGCATCGACTATGTGCCCGACACTGTACTCAGTGCCTCACAATTATTATCTCACTTGATCCTCACAGTAATCCTAGGGGGTCGATGCTGTAATTATCCATCCCCATTTTACAGATGAGGAAACTGAGGCAAACAGAGGTGAAATGACTTGCTCAGAGTCACATAGGTCACTGTCTGAGGCAGGATTTGAACTCAAGTCTTCCTGACACCAAGCCCAGAGCTCTATCCACTGTATCACCTAGCTGTGATGCCACTTTCCTAGCCATCATTAGTTTTTAAAAAATTATTATTGTCATTAATACATTCCCTTACATGGAAGGATTGTTTCATTCATTGTATTTGTATCTCTAGTACCTAGCACAGTGCTTGGCATATATAATTATTTGTTGATTAATTAATTAGCCGAGAGGCAAGATAGCTTAGCGAATAGAAAGCTAGACTGAGGACCTTTTAGAAAAGCCTTGGTTTGAAAGTCCTGCCTTCAGCACATACTGTGTTTGTGAACCTGGCCAAGTCACTTAAATTGTCGATTCTTTAGGCAACTCTAAGATTTTAAGTTGCAGAAAAGGTGTCCACCTGCATGATAAAGAGTTTCCTCACTTGGGAGTTCCTTATATCAATGAAAACACAGATCCAGTCCCTAACCCTGTCTTTTGACACAATTATTTCCCAATAAACAGTCAAACAACATAGTGCATTCCCTGGCAAGGGAGGAGTGTGGAGGAATGAGGAAATAGATTATCAATTATTAACAGAAAGGATAAATGTATGAACTTTGGTACCAGCACTGAACATTTTATCTAACAGGAGTTTCACTGCTTCTCCATATTATGTATTTGCATAAGTGTAGTCATTGTATATAGTGTCCTTTTGGCCCTGCTTTTTTAAAAAATTAATTTATTTTGATTTATCAACAATCACTTCCATATGCTTTTGAGTTTAAAATTTTTCTCCACCTTCCGCCCCTGGCCTTGCTTTTTCACTCTGAATCATTTCATACAAGTCTTCCCATGTTTTTCTGAATTTTTCATATTTATTTTTCTTATTTTTCAATAATATTCCATTATATTCATATACTGTAACTTATTCCCCAGTTGTTGGACACATTTTATTTCTAGCATTTCATTATCACAAATAATGCTATCAACATTTGTGTATGGGTATAAGTATGCATATTTATACATACATATATATGTATGTGGGCAGCTAGGTGATGCAATGGATAGAGCACCAGGCCAGGAATCAGGAAAACTCATTGTGATTTCAAATCTGTCCTCAGATTACTAGTTGTGTGACCCTGGGCAAATCACTTAACCCTGTTTGCCTCAGTTTCCTCATCTGTAAAATGAGCTGGAGAAAGAAATGGCAAACCATTCCAGTGTCTTTGCCAAAAAAAAAAACAACACTCAAAATGGTGTCACGAAGAGTTGGACGTGACTTAAATGATTGAACAACAACAAAATATATGTATGTGTGCAGGGTTGTGCTGTTCAATGTTTAACAACTGGCTTTCTGGAAAAAAAAAGTTGTACACAGGCCATACTTTTGAGTTTAATCTGCATTATTAACATTTCCCCCATCATTTTCTTAAGCCTAGACAATCTAGACAATAAATCAAGCCTTGATTTATTTTTAGCATTTGCCAATTTACAAGGTATACATGCTGACACTGAAAATTTAACAATCAGCTCTTGTGAGCTGGTAAGAATTGGCTCCAGCACATCTCTGTATGTATGTATTTTCCTGCTGTCAGTAATCTCCTTGGAGAGATATAGTCTCACAAGTACAGATTCTGGATCATGGGGTATTAACAATTTGGTAACCTTTGTTGCACAATTTCAAACTGTTTTCTGAAAACAGTTGAACCAATTTATAACTCTGCCAGCAATGAATTAGTGTGACATGGCTGTTTTTTTGGTTCCTCCCAAAATCAGAAACCACAAATATGGGTGTGTCTTGGTTTCACACACACACACACACACACACACACACACACACACTGTAATTTACAAAACAAATACCTTAGGAAATGACTGTTCCCAAATACATATTTGTTTTACAAAAAAATTCACCAAGGAGCTCCTTTAAAGAGTGACCTCCACTATTGCATTTCTCTCAAATTTAATTTACTTATAAATTTTTAAAGAACCATCATGTAAAGCAAAAGTACATGTAGACAGTTTGTTTTGTATCACAGTGCATGGTGGGAGGAAAGATTCACGCCAAACGAATAGAACATGTGTTCTCTTCTCCTGTTCCTACCAGATGAATCTCAAATTGTTTCAAGTTCCATTAAAATTAACCTTGTTCATTTTTAAACTAGAGTTGAGTCTTTTGTTCCCAATTCTTACCTGAGGTCAGAAAGATTTAATATGTCTTTTCCCCCAAACCACAAAGCAATTAAAATCAGTCATGCTTTTTTTTTTAAGGGCTAGAATAGCTGATCTTAGGCAAATCACTTCATTTTTAAGCCTCAGATTCCTTTCTTTGAAACATTATTTTTTTAATCACTGTCACTTTGTAATAACTTCTCTTCCCTCCAACTCCTCCCTGCAGAACCCGTTCTTTTAACAAAGGTGGAGAGTTAAACAGTACAAATCAACAACACATCAGCTGCGTCTGAAAATGTATGCATCATTCTGACCCTATTATCCGTCATCTCTCTGCTGACAGGTGGGAGGCCTGCTCTATAGTCACAGCTTGCCACTGCGTTGAGCAAAATTCTGAAACTTGTCCAAGTTGTTTCCTTTGCATTATTGTGATTATGACGTAAAATTATTCTTTTGGTTCTACCTAGTTCCCTGTGCATCAGTTTACGAAAGTCTTCCCGAGTTTCTCAGGATACTTTATATCCCTTGTTTCATAATAGAGTACCATTTATTCTTATACCATGTGTTCAACCATTCTCTAATCCATGGACACCACTCTTCTTCCAATTTTTTTTGCTACTACAAGTATTATATATATGGAACCTTTCTGTCTATCTTTGACCTCCTTGGGTTACATGCATAATTGTAGTATGATTGGGTCAAAGGATATGTACCCCAAAGATGTCACAATAAGTCCCCCCTACCTCCAGAGACTTATGATGAATAAACCGCTGGAAAATGTTGTGCCATTTTGTAAGTGAACACCTTATGCAGAACTGCCGTATTCTGTTAAATGTTTTTAGACTTAAATTAACTACCTTCTAATTTGCCCATTTCTTTTTATTTTCTTTCTATCATTTTTCTATTTTTTAAGCCTGAGACGTGAGGCTAGGTTCTATTCCATTTGATTTAAAGTGCTTATTGTGCAGGATACACTATGCTAGGGATACAGAGGTAGGATAAGACACAGTTCCTGCCTTAATGGAGCTGCTAGTCTGGTGGGCAGAAAAGATCCCAACATAGACCATTAGAGAGCATAAGAATATTTTAGAAAAGTGCATTAGAAAGGTGGAAGACTGAGAGTTATGCGAGATATTCTAGACTCCTCTGTCCCTCTCTGCTTGGATGCCCTTAGCAAATTGCTTTGACTTACTATAAGCCCTGCCCCTCTCCCCTATCTATTAAAAAAAACATCATAGTATCATAGATTTAGTGATGAAAGTAACCTTCAAGGACATCTAGTCTAATCCTCTCATTTTGTTGATGAGGAAACTGAGGCCCAGAGAGGTTAAGGGGATTTTTCCCAAGGGAACACAGAGGACACACTCAGACTCCAAATCTATCTTATTTTCTACTATACCCTACTGTCTTAGATCTCTACCAGTTCTAGCTGCCTGTTTCTAAGAATCAATATTCTTCTGTTCTTCCTTGACCCCCCCCCACACACACGCTTGCTGAGGCTTCAGCATTCTTTTCTCAGATTTCATGATCTTGCCAGTGTCCTTTTCTCTGATATCCCTGATCTGCGTAAATGATTTGCCGTATAGCACAGTAAACAGAAAGCAACCCTTGAAGTCAGGCCAATCTGAAACCAAAATCTTGCCTCTGATACATACTAGCTTTAGGGTCATGGGCAAGTCACAACTTCTCAGGACCCTAAACAACTTTCTAAATGTATAAGATTCAGATGAATTGCTGCTATGCAGTCAGTGGAGGGGATTTCCATGCTGGGAATTCCCTGCACCAGTAAATTCACAGGTCCCAACCAAATAATAATAATAATAATCTAATAGGCAGCATAAAAGCTAGTAACTCAATTAAAGAACAAAGAATGAACTTGACAGTGAATCTTTCCCATTTATAACTGAGACTATCGATCAACAAAGATTTTTCTTACTTTTGAGTTTCATGAGATATTCCCAAACAAGCACAGATAAGGATAACTAGAAATACCACCGTCTTCAGAGATCTCTGGGCCACCAGCATTTTGAGGTGTCTTGAAACCTGCTGAAGGAAATAATGTAAGAGCAGCTTAATGGCAAAATCCTATCATCTTTCTGGTAGTCAAGCATGTAGAATTTCATCTGCAATGTTATATTTGGTGGGGAGGGAAATGTAAATTTTCTATTATAATGTAGTTGTCAAGGTGATGGCATATTTAAATAAGGCTTACCCTGCACCTAAATTCAGCTAACCATTAATTATCTGCATTTTCTACTTAGATTGTCTCTCAGAATCCACAAATGGTTGAATTTTTTTTTCTGGCTGAGATCTCTGAATTTATTAGAAAAATATGTCAACTACAATAACCTAAAATATACAGTAAAAAACAAAAATGAAAAATCACAGATAATTGGGGGGGGAATCCCTGAAAAATCCCTATGTAAACCTGGATGGAGACATTTTTTTTAGAAGCCACAGACCTAATTTAGGGCAGAGATTAGTTCAGGGTGCACATACAAGATCACATTAAGTCACTTTATTGGCAAATACTCACTGTTGGTCCTTACGACTCCTTGCTAACAAAGCTCGTCTGGCTGCTAGAGCTAAAAGGAAGTACCAGTGGTCCAGGTTTTATGTGGGATGTGCAGTATCTTATACCCACTTAGAAATCCTACTTCAATAGGCTGTCTAGCCCCTCCAATGACTAAGGATTTCACTTTCTTACCAGAATGGATCAAATCAAAATAGGCATCAGATATCCAAACCAAATATTGCAATAGAGTCTGTCTTTCTGGGAGTAATTAAGAAATAAACATCCAGGGCAGCTAGGTGGTGCAGTGGATACAGCATCGGCCCTGAAGTCAGGAGGAGCTGAGTTCAAATCCAGTCTCAGACCCAACACTTGACACTTACTAGCTGTGTGAGCCTGGGCAAGTCACTTAACCCTAATTGCCTAAAGGAAAAAGAAAAGAAATAAACATCCAAAGGTCCTGGCCTCTAGTTAATTCCGCAGTGGAACTCTGACCTGTTCAGTGACAATTGACAGTACTAATTATAGAGTCAAAAGACCCAGCTGTGGGTATTTTGTCAGAAAAATCCCAGCTGTGCCATTCAGTAGCTGTATAACCTTGGACGATTCACTTACTCCTCTCTCTACCTCAGTTTTCTCAACCTCCTACCTCATGAGACAATTTTGACAAGTAGGATAAGGTCCTCAGAACTCTTTGAATTATGCAGTGGCATAAAAGTCTACTGTTACTGGCCCTTCTCCATGGTTACTACTGCAACCCTTGATGGCTAGATAGTCTATTTTCTCATTTTTTTTTCTTATAAAATCTGGACCTCTCTTCAGAGGGCTAGCTTCCAAGAAATTAGAGTTCAGGGAGAATTGAATTTCTTTAAGAAAATGACAAAAGTGTTTTCTATGTCAATCTCTTCTTTATAAAAACAACAGCAACAAAACATACCTCTATAAAGCCTAACTTGGTCCCATTTGGCTACAATTACTCTAACAATTTTGGGTTTGGTTTTTTTTTGACTAGACAATGGGGTTAAGTGACTCACCCAAGGTCACATACTCCAACAATTTTGATGGTTTTCATGGGGCATTACCAATTAACTCACAGATACTTACCGAGCAACTCTTATGTGCCTAGCTCTGTGGTACGGTGGCATTAGGAAATTTCAGTGTATGAAGTGACCCAAAGTATAATGATCCAAGGGTCATCTAGTCTGAAATTTGAGTAAGAATCCCTTCTATAAGATCCCTGACAAGTCATCATCCATTCATGCTTAAAGACTTCTGGTAATAGGGACCCTACCACTTCCTGAGTGGTATCTTTGGTAGACACCTTTGGATGTCTCTGTGAGGTGGGGGAGGGAAGAGGAAGGGAAGAAAACAAGCATTTATTAAATGTCTACTATGAAGTGGTCAAGTAGGACTAGCACCTCTGATGTGAGGGTTTGCTGAGCCTTTTTCAGGGCTGCTCATCTACCTTTGGGGTCCACCTGGCCCTCAACTCTCACCTGTGACTCCAAGAAGCTGTAGAATGTGCAGTAGCCACACTCTGGTAAGCCATCTTAGCAGATGGGCTAACCCAGGTTGAGGGTAACCAATAAGCTTCAAACCCATTGGTGAGGCAGGAAGATGTCTGCCTCAAGCATTTGAAGACTTCTCCCAGCAGAAGGGGAGTATGGGAACAGTTTGTTGCAAGTAACATGAAAGTAGCTGAAGCAAGTGCTGTGGAGCGCTTAGAGCATGACCAGACATCAAAAATGCCAAGGTTGTTCACTGCAGCCCAGGCCATCAACTAGTCATGCTGACTTTTGTCTTGCCACTGGACTTGCCACTGGAAGAAAGTGAGGCTGATGACTGGGTGCAACTCTGCCTCACTTAACTCTAATTCATGCACAAGTCAAGACATTACCCCACGGTGGCACACGTCCTCTTTGAAAATGAAGAATGAGAAACAACCATGTGCCAGGCATTGTGCTAAATGCTTTATAGACTTGAGCCTCACAACCCTGTGAGGTAGGGGCTATTATATTCTTCATTTTGCAGTTGAGGAAACTGAGACAGAGAGAATTTAAGTGACTTACCCAGGGTCCCACAGCTAATAAGTATCTGAGGCTGGATTTGATCTCAGGTCTTCCTGACTCCAGGACCATCTCTTTGTTCACCGTGTCACCTGCTGCCTCATATCAAGCCAAAATTCTTCCTTTCTTTAGCTTCTGCTCTTTACTCTTAGTTCTGCCTTCTGGGGCCATGCCTAATCCCTCTTCCACAAAAAGCTTTTTCCAATACTTAAAGAAAACTACGAGGGGAATAAGTACACTAATGCACTATTGGTAGAACTGTGAATTGGTTCGACTGTTCTGGAAAGCAACTTGGAATTATACTAAATCACTAAACTGTTCATATCCTTTGATTTGACAATATCATTACTAGGATTATACCATAAAGATGGTAGAAGGGAAAGGCAGAAGGAAAGGAAGGATCCTTGTGTACAAAAAAAATATTTATAACAGCACTTTTTGCAGCAGCAAAGAATTGGGAACAAAGTGAGTGTTCATCAACTCTGGAATTGTTGAACAAATGATGACTACGAAGAATTCAGAGAAACTTGAGGAGACTTGTATGAGGTGATGCTGAGTAAAATAAGCTCAACCAACAGAAATTTAAATGAGAACCATAATCATGTAAAGGAAAACAACTTTAACAGAGTTCAGAAGACTAGTAATAAAGTATATCTCACCTTCAGCAAAGAGGTGGTGAACTAGAGGAATGAAGTGAGGCACACATTTTCAGACACAGCCAAAGTGTTCATTTGTTTTGCATGGCTGTATTTATTTTTAACAACAGAGCTCGGTGGGGGGGGGGGTGGCAGGAGTTAGCGAGAAGGACGGATGCCAAAAAAAGAAGAGGGAGGCATTAACAAAACATCTTAAGAGAGATGTAGAAGAAAACAAAAGTTCAGATGCAGATGCCAACAGAACAATTCTGTTACCATCTTGTTAAATTTAATGTGCAAAAATTTAAAGCAAGCCATGTAAAAGAAGTTTGTCATTTCATACACAATCCTCTTCTTTGTTAATAGGAATGTTTGTGTTTATTGAATTTGTAATAAAAATACTTTAAAAAAAAACGTGTCTTCACTAAGTTCTCTCTTCTCTGGGCAAAACATACTCATTTTCTTCAATCAATTCACCTATGTCATGTTTTCCATCCTCTTCTCTAGATTTGTTCAAGCTTGTCGATATTCTTCCTGAAAAAATGCAATGGGATTGCTAGTTTTCCTGTTTTGGATACTGCACATCTCAATTAAATCAGATCAAATGAAGGTTCTTTTTGGCTGACGCATCATATTATTGACTTATCTTGAGATTTCAGTCTGCTAAAACCCTCTGACCTTTTCCCATACAAATTGTTATCTAGTCCCAAATCCTCCATTCTTTACTAAAGTAGTTTTTGTTTTTACCCAAGTGACTATATTTATCTCAATAAAATCTCATCGTATTAGTTTTAAACTATGTATCTAGCCTATTCAGATCTTCTGGAGCCCTGTTCTATAATTCATGGTGCTAGTTATCTATCCCAGTTTTGTGGCATCTGCAAATTTCTTAGGCAAACCTTCTATGCCTTCATCCAAATTCTAGTATATACATAAATAAAGAAGAAGAAAAGAAAGAAAAATTAAGAAACCACACAGAACCGAGGATGGATTCCTGGCACTCTACTGCATACCTCTGTCCTGGAGGATGCTTTATCCATTATTTACCACTCTTTGACTTTGCCTATTCAGCCCATCACGAATCTATCCCTAAGGTGTAGCAAGTAGGATGGTGAAAAAGACTAGAGACTGTGACCCATAAGGATTGTATAAGGAACTTGGTGATGTTTAGTCTGGACAAGTCTTGGGAGAGACATGATAACTAATGAAGCCAACTCTCCCATTTATTTGTAGAGGAAAGGGTCTATGGTTGTGGAATCTTTCAATATGTTGGTTTTGCTGCACTGTTTTTCTCCTTTTTAATTTTTTTGTTAAAAGAAATATCTTTTTAGAAGAGAGATGAGTAGAGAAGAAAGGGAGGGAGGAAGCATTTATACAGCATCTACTGTGTTCCAGGTACTGTGCTCAGGGCTTTATAAATCTTATCTCATTTGATCTTCACAACAACCTTGGGAGGTAGGTGCTATTATGATCCCCATTTTACAGTTGAGGAAAGTGGAGCAGGTAGTAAAGTGACTCACCCAGGGTCACACAGCCAAGTCAGTGTCTGAGACCAGATTTTGAACTCAGAAAGATGAGTCTTCCTAATTCTAAGGCCCACTGTGCCACCTAAGGTGAGATACATTAAGAAATTTAGGTTATATAAAAAAATTAATAAAAATTTATTTTTTAAAAAGAAACATCTCAAGTGTGTTTTTCAAGTGACATAGTTTGAGAGTAAGATCTGGGCACCACAGGCCATCTTGGCATTAGTCAGGTCATATGAAGTCAGTAGTTATTTACTTCATCTACATGGAAGGCCAACCCTGAGCAGCTGTCATTTATCATAGTGGCTCCTCTGGGAAATCTTACAAAGAGGGCAGAGTACATACTTACTGAAGTAGACTTCTGGTCAGGATGTGTGGGTGTGGCAGTGTTTCAAAGAGATCTGAGGAATCAGGACCCTCTACTGTTAGCTCAAAAAACAAAACAAAACCCGAGACAATTCAAACATTTCCCTGCTGGCCTTAGAAATTACCTAGGCTTAGGATACATTCATTTGACCATCATTTAATAAGCAAATCCAAGGATAAGTAAGGCACTGTCCCTACCCTCAAGGAACCTGCAATCAAATAAGCAAGTTTGTGATCTATTTCAAACACAGGATAAGTAACCTATGCCAGTTAAAGTCAACAAACTTTAAGTTCCTACTATGTCCAGGCTAAGTGGTGCAGTGGAGAGAATACCAGGCCTCGAGTAAGGAAGACTCATCTTCCTGAGTTCAAATCTAGCCTCAGACACTTACTGGCTGTGTGACTTTGGGTAAGTCACTTCACCCTGTTTACCTCAGTTTCCTCTTCCGTAAAATGAGCTGGAGAAGGAAATCAAAAATCACTCTAATATCTTTGCCAAGAAAACCCCAAATGGGGCCATGAAAAGTTCGACGTGACTGAAAAAGGTCTGAAATGTCTAAATCTTGGAGAGATGTAGTTTAGATAAGAAACCTTATCTTCAAGGAACTTATAATGAAATAGAAAGAGAGAGAAAAGGGCAAGTCGCCAAAAGGAGGTTTTATAGGAAAGAAGGAAACAACAGGAACTTTCCTAAGTGCTTTACAATTATGATCTCATTTAATCTTAGGAGGTAGGTGCTATTGTTATCTCTATTTTACAGTTGAGGGAAATGAGGTAAAATGACTTGCGCAAGGTCACACAGCTAGCAAATGTCTGAGTCCATGTTTGCACTTATGTCTTCCTGATTCTAGGAGGCTCAGTGGATAGATTGCTGTGTCTGGAGTCAGGAAGACTTATCTTCCCAGTTTGAATCTGGCCTCAGACACTAGCCATGTGACCTTGGGCAAGTCACTTAACCCTGTTTGCGCCAGATTTCTCATCTGTAAAATGAGCTGGAGAAGGAAATGGCAAACCACTCCAGTATCTTTGCCAAGAAAACCCCAAATGGGATCAGGAAGAGTAAGACATGACTCAACAACAGTTTCCTGATTCTAGGCCCAGTGCACCACCTAGCTGTCTTTACATAGACAAAAGATAACACATATGTACAAATAACAAACATACCTAGTTGACTGGCAGAACTCTCTTTACAGCTTTCTAATATATTGTTGTTCAGCAAACATCTTTCTGGAGGGCAATTTGTCTCAGGAGCACTTCTGTCCTTTCTCCCTTCAGGGGAGCAAGTAGAATTGATTTTTCTGGCTTACATCTTTCTCTACCCATGGGAGGCAGCTTAGAGCCGGACGTCCTCTGGAGGTCCCTGCTTCTATTCTCCATTCCCTCTCTTGTGGACAGTTGGGGTAAGGAGAAAAAAAAGCCAAAGACCCCCAGTGTAGAGTGATCTGTTGACTGGGGGGGAAAAAGTGATTGACTTAAGAGGTTTTTTGTTTTGTTTTGTTTTTATTCTAGGGCAAGGATCCCAGCTCCACATGACTTCTCTTCTCTGCCAAGTTAGAAGGATTAAAAATACAGATCATTAATTAAATTCACAAAAACTCTGAGCCCCCAGGCAATTCCTATTATCACTAGGCTAGAGAAGAGGTTTTCCAGCCAGTTAAATTTTGTAAAATCAATTATCTACAGTTTCCCCTCCCAACTCTACCCTCTTGTGGCACTCTGTAGCAAAACATCAACTCAAGGTATACTAAAAATTATCTTTTTCTAGAAATCCATTGTTAAAAAAGATACAAATAACCAGTAATCAAAACACACAATAACAGAGAAACACTTCGTTGGGAACCATGCCACCAAGTGCCTATAGCTATGAAACAGAAAGAAGAAATAAAGAGTGGAGTGAATTCACTTGTGCGCCTGCAGTTTCTCTGAGCAGGTATAATTCAGTCACTCCTTGCTAGATTAGTTTAGTAAACCTCGGACCAAGCCAGGAAACAGAAAAGGTTCTAGTATCTACAAGGCTTAAAGTCATTCTGGAAAATATCTTCTATCTACTGTTGCTCACTCTTTCCACCTTCCCCTCTCACCCCTCTTCCCCAACCTGTCTCCAGAAAAGTTTAAAGCTGCTTTTGCAGGAGAAAAAACAAAAATATCAACAACCTCTGTTTTTCAGTTCTTATTGGCATGAGAGCATTGTTTTTCATCCAGAGCACATGCAAGCATGCCATCATGAAACTGGAGTACAATTCTCTTGCATTTCAATGGGCAACGTAATTTTACCGTGGTCTTCCACAGGTCCTCATGACAGACCTCTGTTCTGCTCCTGGCATTTCTCCTGGAGTTGTCAGGGAGCAAACACCATGTTGACTTCTCCTCAGACCTTTTTATTTTCTTTAATTTTTAAATTTATTTTTAGTTTTCAACAATCATTTCCATAAACTTTTGAGTTTAAAATTTTTCTCCACTTCCCCCCCCAACATGGCATGCATTCTGATACTGTACTTATACGTTCCTATTAAGCATATTTTCACATTAGTCATGTTGTAAGGAGCTACAATCTGCATTCAAGCTCCATAGTTCTTTCTCTGGATGTGGATAGCATTTTCCATCATGAGACTTTTAGAGGTATCTTAGATCCTTGCGATGCTGAGAAGGGCTAAGTCTATCCAAGTTAGTCATTACACAATGTGGCTGTTACTGTGTGCAATGTTCTCCTGGTTCTGCTCACTTCACTCAGCATCAGACCATACAAGTCTTTCCAGGTTTTTCTGAAGTCAGACTGTTCATCATTTCTTATAGCACAATAGTATTCCATTACATTCATATACTACAGTTTGTTCAGCCATTCCCCAGTTGATGGGCATCCCCTCAATTTCCAATTCTTTGCCACCACAGAAAGAGCTGCTATAAATATTTTTGTACATGTGGGTCCTTTTCCTATTTTTATGAACTCTTTGGGATATCCTCAGACCTTTTTAAAGCCACACTGACTCTCAGGAAGGTGACCATCTTCCAGTCAGCAAAGGAGGACTCTGGCAAGGATCTTGCCGGCAATGAGTAAAGCAAGAGATCCCTGTGTGGTTGTCACAAGACAGCCTGTTTCCTTTTTCTTTGTAGAGTTGGACAGTGGAGGCATCCTTAAGCTCCTGGAGGATG